TTTCCAAAAAGAGTAGAGTTAAATTCGAAGCGTGTCATCAGTTATGAAGAAATTTCGAAATTTTCTAACGATCTAATTCTACAGAAAGTGTGCAGCAGTGTCAGTTTGTTTGTGGCAAAAGTGGTAAATTAATTCATCTTGTTGGTTACTTTCTCATAAATTAAGAATTTTCATTAAGAATTTTTTCAGGTTATTTTACAGAAAACTGGGGCAAGACGAGACAAATGAGTGGAGCAAGATGTGTCCTACCTTACCTCACTTAACTAATATTATCTACTGATACTTTTTCTTTGATATTTTCTATAATTTTAGTCTTATTAAGGATATTTTAGCAGAAAGTTTGTGACAGGAACGAAAAATTCCGCTATTCTTAAGAAGATCGAATCTGTATACTGTGAAGCATGTTACACTGCTCCCCCAAAAATTGCAACAGCTACATAGAAATTGGGGTTGCACAAATCTGGAAATCACATACGTTTTTCGGGCTGCTTCGAGGAAAGAATTAACCTTTATTAACCAAATTTTAATCATTTTTCCCTTTCAATACCCCGAACAATATATGTAAATTTCAGATTTGTGCCATTTCGTTTTTAAGGTGTTGCAATTTTTTTCGCGAGCAGTGTATTACTTTACGATCTGAAAATCAGCGAACACTTACTATGCATCTCAATGCTCGTCAGTTCCTACTCAATAGCGAATGACGTATCATAATCAATCAGTCAATCATTTTCTTACAATCGTGGGAGTGTACTTCTGGAAGATTTGGAGAACTGCGTGACGAGAAAAAGAAGAGAAAAAGGACAGAAATGCTAAAAAAGGAAAAGGACTGCTACGAAATTAAGAACAAGTTCGAAGTATTGAACAAAAAAAAAAAATTAATTAAGCTACATCCTTGTCAAGAGAATCTTCTTTTCATTTTTGTTCTTTTGATTACCTCTGCATGCATCAATCCATATAACTTTGGGCACACGAATCTTAGACTGCTTTGTGTAAAGTATCGATAATGACACGTACTTCATTTTGTCCCTGATTACCTCATCTTGCCCCCATACAAGCCCCATCTTACCCCACGTGAGGTGTAAGACGAGAAAGATTAGTGTTTAACACGTTCAGCACGGCAACGAAATTCACGAAACACTTCACTGAAGCGTTTATTATCATTTACACTTAATTTTTTCAGTTTCTAATCTTTTCAGCTCTTAACTGTACGTGTTTTTTCATGGAATATTATAGAATAATGTGGTCACCGGTTAAGAAGAAAAGGGTTTATACAAGGTTCTAATTCCCGTGATCTCAATTTTGTTGCTAAAATTTAAAAACGAATGTTTGTTCATTCTAGAAGCGCTTTAATACATGTTACACGAACAATGTATTCGATTTTATCTACGCTTCTCTTTAGCGTTTCCATCTTACTTCGCATTCCCCTACGGATAATCAGTACAGAAATAATACAAATATTGTACTGTTTGTAATTTACACGAAGAATCTCTTCCATATCGATAATTATAATTTTTACACGACGTTTTAATGCTTGCATAATGGTCGCTACACATGTGCAATACTTTCGCAATATCGGAAATATATGTCTTACAATGTATATTTCCATCCACGTTCATCCCAATAACCTGGCAATAATGCGAGTAATAAACTCGCGAAAGAAAAGAAAATTGCCGTAACTACTGTGAAAACAATGTCCATAATGTCCATAAAAAGAAAGAAGAAAAACTTGAATAAGAAGAGCAACAATATCTATCTCGAGCATGTACGAAGCGACCGCGGTATTGGTGAATTATCGCTACCAATTACTTGTACGCATGCGAGAATGGATAAAGTAAACGCGGAGAAAACTGTGAATTAATTATCCGGTTTAATAATAGATACAAGAAGAAGAACGTAATGACTCCGTCATTAATTCCGCAGAGGCGACTCTTTGAATGTAGTCGAATCCACGACGATTCGGTCGTATCGAGTGAGCCGGATGATCTAAGCGTTGTCGCCGATGAAATCTGAACACGTGCTCAATTCCGACAACGGCCTGCTAAAGCATAAGCGCGGACTTAGATTTATGTATGAGTGAACTGAACTTAACACTAACGGCTAAGCCGTTCACGGTGTCAACGAGGGTCAAGTGGGCCCAGAATGCGACAATCCTACACTACGACCGAAGTGCGAAATGTACCGCGTGGCAGTTTTCGTTGTCTGGAAACTGGATCGTCGATGACGCTTCTAAGGAACTACACAACCAAATTGACCGAGAAATCGTTTAACCGTCTCACACTCTATCCTGATTATCGTGTCACTTGTTAGTCTCAATTCCTACCGACAATTATCCTATGCGCTATCGAAATTGTCGAAATATCACGATGTTCGCGAATTCAGAGCATCCACCCTACATCACTCTATATTCTTTTCTTCTTTTTTAAGTTAATATCATTTTTTATTTAACACTTGTCAAGTGAGTTATAAAAAGCTTCCCTCTGATGTTCACGACAACGTTACCTAGAATAAAATTACGTTTCACTTTTCATGATTAGCTCAATTTTGCAGGAAATAATTAGCAAGTGAAAACTCTTTTCTTTAGTTGTACCAAAATTGTGAATGAAACTTCGTCGAATAATAAAAATGCCAGTTAAAAGAGAATATAAGTTTGCTCTGTGGGGTTTATCATGTACCGGGTGTTTCGATGTTTAGGGTACAAACATCATCAGCCGATAAAACTTGCAAGGCTGGACAAAATTCTTTTCCAAAAAATCATTATTACCTTGCAAAAACTGTCAATTGTTTTGTAGCACGTTTCGACATACGTTTCATAATCTTCCCTTATTACTTAATAATTTTTTAGTAAAAAGTACCTGCTCGATAAAGTAAGGTCTTTTATGATATTTGACATTGCGCAGATGATGATTATTATACAAATAATTAAAATGACTGAAATTTTATTCGATCATGTTGCAATAACACTTGGTTACATTTGTGCATAGTAAAAGCATACAAAGCAATTTTTTAGTACTTCAATTATTTTCCTAAACATTTACTTAACAGATATTCCTTTTATCTTTATGCGTACATATATGGAAAAAAATGTTTGCTATACGTTATCTCTTAAGATATCTAGTCTATTCTACATCGTTTGTTAGTGTTTAACGAAAAAAAAAAAAAAATCAGCCAGGAGAAAGCGAAACGCAAACATCGTATTAGAAGTAAAAAATGTTCGATTGATTCCTAATGTTTATTGGGTGTATAAGTAGCTCTTTGATTGTTAAGTACGTGTCAGTAGCTACCACGAAATGTAAGCAGCTTGTTCGACACAGTTTTCGATCCTTCGATAAACTATTGCGATATTTTGCTAATCCATTACTTTTTCTCGATAAATAGAGTCCGTTCTAGATTAGATTGTTCGAAAATCTGCGATAAAGGCGTCAGAACTTTTTAATCGCATTATTTCTGACATCGTTTAACACGTTTCCGCGCGTATTGATTCGACCAAATTTCTACATACGCTCGAAAATAATCGATTCCTCCCTACACTCGGTAGGTTGAAATTTTTTTAATACCACGAAAGAAAAATTGTACTCTGCACTTGTCATCGAGATAACCGAACAGAAAAACCGATTATTGTTCGCAACGAGCTACTTCACACGCCGCGTGTCCGTAAAATATAGAATATTGTCGCACGTCGGGTACGAGAAACGAGCATAAACGAAGGAGAAAGAAGCGAACGAGCGTGAGGTAGAACAACAGCATTCCCGAAATTTAAGCAAATTCGATCGGAACGACGTAATAACGAGCCGCAAGAAAAACGTCGGAGATATTCGGCGATCGCAGTTGATCCGTCGATAGGCACTGTTCCTCTCGAGGCTCGAGTTCAGGTTGCTCATTTTTTCACTGATCCGGACTGTACCGGGATACCAGCTACTGTTTCGGGAGCTGCTTCAAGGTATGCACTCGCAAAAAACACGTCAGACCGCTGAAGACCCGGGCTTGGAGGCGGGAGCAAGAGATAACGAGAGAAAGAGAGAGGGGGCGAGGAGGAAAGGGATCAGAAGGCGAAGGAGAAGGAAGAGGAGGAAGAGAGAAGGAAGACAGGAAAAAAGGACAGTGAGGAGGACACCGTAAAGGTGGCGAAGAGAGGGAAAGGAGCACAAGCCTGACACCGGTGTATAAAGTAGCGGACGAGGGAGGAAGGCAAAGCCCGGAGGTAAACGTGGATTGGAAGAGGATGACGGGTCTTTGGCTCGTTTCCACGCGAGGAATGAGGATGAACGCGGGCCTGTAAGCGGGAACGCATAAGAAAAGGCAACAGGTGGATGGGGTTAGCGGCTTATCTGGCTAACGCCCCAAGTGATATCGTGGTAACTTCGACGTGACGCGAAAGGGGATGCACTGTTCACGAGTTTCACCAGAAGCTGCGTTTCTGTTTTTTTTTTTCCCCCCCACGGCTTTCGAATCCAGGCAAATTGATTTTTCTTTTTTAGCCGACTTGTCTGTCAATTATTTTTCAATAATCTGATTTTATCTCGTCCTGGCTTTCGCGAACGTTACTCTTATCGAAGTGTAATCAAAATACAAAAGTATCTCTGCTTAAAGCATCGATGATTATCGAATGTTATTCACTTAATCGATAAGAAATTTCACGAAGCAGAGTTAATTGATCATACTTAAGTTTTGTTAACCGTAACTCGGGTTACTTATTCTTCGTTGGAAGCAAATTTTATATTCTGTATTTCTAAATAATTACCTAAAGTATCGCCTTTGTCATTTGCCTACTTATTCGCAAGAAAAATCGACCAATTCTTCTCATCTCAAAACTGAACAAATTCCAAGTTATTTGTCGAGAAACTACGAGAGCTACAGTTGCCAGTATTTGTACAGAAGCCGATAGAGAAGAAAAAAGAAGGAAGAATAAGCGAATTCGACTGTTTTATGCAAAGCGCAACATCGTCGGGAATTAATACCAGCATTGCAACAACGATTCGACATCGTTTATCGGCGGATCAGCTTATCTACCGGGTGTAACGCAGATACTGCTGACGACGTTTCCTGTCCCGTTGTTTCCCCTAAATACGATAGCCTTACCAAATAGTCCGGACTAACCGAATGTCCTAGGAACTCGGTGAATTTATTCCAAACCAGATTTGTATCGCGTCTTTTTAACGAGCTTACGCAAGATTCGACTAAAAATGGCCGGCTTATGGTTTTTAGCAATTGAACGTAGGTCCAGTTCGCGGTACTCCTTGCGTCAGCTTCAATGATCTTCTAAATTGACGCTTCTTCCTATCGCAAAAATTTCGCGGTGTCTTTCGTCTTCTTCAACCACTCCACCCAGGCCTGCTTATTATTTCCTTCAATCTCATTCCTACCGCGTGGATTCGACAATTTCAGTAGAATTTCTTTACCGCCTATACCGATCAATTATAAATTATCGACATCTGCTAATAGATCTCGCGACTGCCCTCCGGTTTTGTTGCTTACTCACTTTGTTTATCAAGAAGAAAGCGAAACTTTAGAAACAGTAACTTTTCAATGATAAAAAAAAAAAATGAAATATAGCGCAAATTCACAATTTCATACGTTTCGTGCAGTTAGAGCGGTCAATTGTTAAAGCGCTCAATTCAGTTCCTGGCTTCTTTCATCGGTATAATGTTTTAGTGTTCGTTAAAGGGAGAACTGGTTTATATGTCGGTGACTGTTTGTTAACGAGTTTTTCACGTTGCAAATTTTCTGCAACGCGGTTAATCTACGAATCGGTAATTACGTTTACAGTATGGACTTTAATTTACAGGCGGTAGATTATAAACAATTTCGAGAAGGTAAAAATACTTAAAAATTTTTCGTCGACTGGAGATTAGCGATTAAATAACATCGGCTGTATCTGTTTTTATCGAATATCGATAGAATGGAATTAAATGTCTTCGTGGTTCACGTTAATCGTGCAACATTCTAATCAGGCTTATCGAAATATCAGATGGCCGATATCCACGTACAATAATTGGCCCTCTTCCCGTGGCAGATAATCCCTGGATTGATGCTTCCATGACTACGTTACGTAAATTGCTCATTCTGTTACCAAATGTTCACCGCCTTCTAGTCATTTCTAAAAAAAAAAGACTGCGTAAAACAGGAGGAGTATATCATTTCACTCGTTTACACGTCAAAATACATTCTTTCCATCGATATGATCACACTGTGTTCCGTGAATATTTCAAAACTATAAGTGATTATACTTCGCGCGGAGAACGACGAGCAACTACAATTTCTATGGTGTTTACTGGGATTAAATAGAACTGGTTGTTATTGGTGAGCATTTATATACGACACTGAATCAATTAAAGAAAACTACAAATTCAAAATATATTACCTATGTAAAATTTCATTAAATAGGAAAAACATCACACATACAAATTAATTCGGTGCCTTTTTTCAGAGAGTCTGGAAGACTGTCAACTCCAAATCGCCATACTTGTTCCAAGAGAAAATTCGTTCAAAATAGTAAAGATCATTTTGAACCTCAAAATTGTGTCCGATTTTCTTGTAAATCAACATTTAAGTTTGCGCAAAAAATGCACCGAATGAATTCGTACACCTACTAATACTACCTCTAACGATCGTTACAATATATGCTTGGAAGAATGTGGTAAACGAGCGGTATCTTCCCAGAAATAAATCACGAACGTTACACTTACTAGACAAGTGACGTAGAATGTAATACTAAATATGAACATTGCTATAAATATTAATAGGATACTTATGTCGTGCTCGACGCAGAAATAGCAGAGTAAGGAACCGTCCAGGAAAGGGACGGGAAAAGCTCTACGTGCATTTGATGTATCGGCTTCGGCGGTCGGATAGATGGATTATAATCATTCCGGTAGCTGGGGTGGTCAAATACCGTGACCATGCGTGCCTCAAACCTATCCTCGGACGTACACGTGGCCTCGGAGTGTGTACGTGGTACACTCCTGCGCGCAATGCAACAAGGACATGTCTTCGGCTATCGGAATCAGTGCTTTCCGCTGTTACGATTCTCAATCATCGAATATGTATTTCTCTTCTCCCAAATTCGATCTGGTTAGGTTACCGTACTGATTGGAAAACATTTGAGAATCTACACGGTGTTCTTTAAACGCAAAATTCGTCGTTCGAAGATTAAACAGTACCTTTGCTAAAACGGCTTTGGAATATCTGATTGTTACTTAACAGCACGACTTCTAGACTCGAGACAACTTTTAGAAAGTGTTTTTAAGGAGGAATAATATAGTAATAATATAGGAATAATATAGGAGAATAATAAGTTTAACGAGATATTAACATTTCACGATGAAAAGTCGAGCATTCGATCACAGTGGACGCTAATATTTATTATTTATTCGGATTGTGATTATAAATAATCGTGGAAAAATTGCAATTTGTCGGGATACGAAACTGAATTGCTGCCGTTGTATACGATTTGTCCTGGATTTTCCCCTCGATTTTCAACAGCGGAAACCAAATACCTGTCATACCGTGAAATGATCGCAGAAGGTCAGAGTTGGGCGTTCAACAAACGCTGTACAATACTACTGAATTCCGATACAAACACTGTCCCTGCGTATTTTAAGGAAAAATGTGTGCTCCGCTGTTCGTAATCTCGAAGTCTTCCAGTTCTTCGGTAGAAGTAGAATAATTGCGTTACGAGATTAGCTTTAACTTGGCCATCTTTTCCCTACCGGTGTGTGACACACGCGCGATAAAAAGAAGAAATTACACATGACTCGATGTCCTGTCGCATTCAGTCTCAGCTTACGAAATGAAATTAAAAACAGATCGCGAACAGAGATTACGAGTGATATCTGGGAAAAATTTTGGAACGCGTCGACTCTTTGCATTTCAGCAAAATCCTGAAATTTCACGTGTCAGATTAAATTTCTTCGATTTCAGTGTGAAATCGACGTAGAACGGAATGTTAGATAGAAACGATACCGTTGTCTAAGTCGATGGACTCGACATTAAATTTAGCAGAGGTACGCCAATATTCAAGTCAGAATTGGAAATTGGAAATTTCTGACGATCGAGAGATCGACTGGTTAATGAAGACGCGGTTTTATTGCACTAAATGCCAGAACGGGAACGTAGTTGTAGCACAGGAAGAAGGCAGGGGCACATCCGTACCGTGGTCAGAACCCGTGACCCCCCGTACGTACACGTGTAAACGAACGTATGCCCATTCACGCAACACATACGATCCGTGGTTTTACCAAGGATTATCTCCTAACCCTGTCTACCGCCTCTACAGCCGTCCCGATGGCCGTTTCTAGATTTTAACCCCTTAAATGTTATGGCGCATCACTGAAAGTGCAGTCCGCACTGGCATGAATTTTTCATCGCTAGCTAAAAAATGCAAATATGTCCGTCACTCCCACTGTACATCGATTTTAGCCACGGCGCATATATACGACATAACCGTTTAAGGGGTTAAAGCATTGCCTATGTATATTTCGTAAACTTAACTGCTTGCCCCGATTTATACTCCGAAAGATTCGTGTAACGAAAGACTGTCGTGTAACGACTTCTCCCTTCGTATCATTTGTTGCGTTTAACGAAACACGAAATTGTCAAGCCGCGTGAGTTCATAAGGTTTTGTCATTGTGAACTGCGCATAGAACTTACCGATTTGCAAGACGAAGTTTAATTTATTTCATTTGTCAAAATATTACGCATAAACGAAATAAATAATTCTATGCTTTCAAGTGTTTGAAACGAAATTACTCTTATTTGTCTCCTTTGACACAATTTTTGAACAACTGCGGTTTCCAATATAATTATTTATTTCTATTATCCAATAGAAATTCGATATAATTGAATCCTTATTTCCTGATCTTGTGTACAGTATACTTGCAATCAAGTATAATAAGCAATACGTTGTAAAATCAAATTTTATAGTAAAAAGCTTTTTCTTCGTAAATCTTATTGAGACTTGCTTGAGGACAAACTGATATCGGAGAACTAGCTTAGCAGCGAGTTCAAGTGCTCTCGAGGGCAGAAATTGGTAGGGCAACCAATTGGTAATGCAATGCTAGAAGGGGTTACTTTTTCAACGATCATATTCACGGATTACCAACATTACCAGGGTGTTACATTGTTTTTAATATCACTATTCTAATGGAAAAGCTAAACGGCTAAAAGACTTGATATTAGGAAAGGTTATAATTGCATGATTTACCTGTACTTGATCTGTTTTCGTGTTAGCAGCCATCCATGCCTCTACAAACGTGTCCATAGCGCTCTGAAAATCCATTCCCTCGTAAAGAGTTCCTCAATAAATATCCCGGGACTCGGAAGTCGCCCCCATTTTTTAATTTTACACTGACATTTATTGCTTCGATGATTTTCACCGATTTCTGTCTGCTTTACATATCGAATTTACCAGCGGTGGGGCTCTAAGTCGCTACATCTTCTTGCTATACACCTCGCGAGTACAAATTCTTTCGGTAGTTCAAGTCACAACCGAGTCGATGCATGTTTCGAGTATGCTTTTATTACTTCACGCCAATTATCAACATCGGTACGTTAATATCGTGTAACAAGATACGCACTTTACTTTAAATTTTATAATTGAACCGTACTCGATCACATGCCATGACAGAAGCTTTTTATTGCGACGTTATTGATGATTAAGGGAAAATCATATTAATATCGTTGAACGGTAAAATCGATTAAATCATCGGATCAATAACAAGTCGACTGCGCGCACTTACAACTAGATAGCGAAGAATAGTCTTGCACACACCGTGTTTGCGGAACGATGCGACAATATCTCGGAACTTAATGAAAACGGCGTGGAACGTGAATTCTGTGCCAGAAGTACTAAAACTTCGATAAATACCAGAGTTTATTTTCTATGTTTGTCTCGAAAGCTAGAGTTCACTGTTCGTGTCAAATGGGAACACTGCGTTGATACATATGTTTGCACTGGTAAAAAATCGTTTTACAGGACACTCCAATAATCTTCCAGGTGTTTGAAAGATTTCGAAATCTCGACGTCTGTCCGCCTCGAACGTGTTTGTAAATACGTCACTAAATCAGAATCATCTTCGGCCAATGATCAAACTTTCATCATGTCCGAAAAGTCTTAATGTCATTGTCATAGAATCACTCTAAACGATCGATAACAGGCTCAATCTCAATATGATCTCACAATAGTTTAATCGTTCGATGTCGTTCAACGAACACTGTTCTCAGTCATCTGTTCCAAAAGCTGAATGCTGATTTTCATTGATCTTGACGAAGAAATCCATCCTCGATGCAGAACGTGGATCGAAAGCTTTTTCGTAATAAGATTCTCGATCATGTTCTTCTAAGGAGCCCCGACCCCGCGAGAATAACACGTTCGCATGGGACGGCGTTCGAGCCGCGACTGTGCGTACCGAAGCGTCGCGGCGCTCGTTCTGCCCCTATGTTGCCCTACCCGCTGTCGTAGTCACCCCACCACCTCGCCGGTTACCATCGCCCACCGTGGAGGGACCATCCTTGGTCTTCACTCGGATGGTTCACCCTCAAACCCTCCAAATCTACCTTCGTCATCGGTGCAGTCCCTCTGCTTCTCTATTTTTTCCACCCCCTCCCCTCTCTCCTACCGCACCGCCGCGCTTTCTCTCCTTCTTCTACCTTTTCTTTTTTCCTTCTGTGATCCGTCCTATCCCCCATCCTCGTCCTTTGCTCATCCACTTGCTCCTTCTCTTTCGTCCATTTTCTTTTCCTTTTTCCCCGCATTTTCCTTCAAATTTTCCTTACCTCTTCTGATTTTTCCCTCCTTTGCCCGCGTCTTTCATCTTTCCGCTTTTCATTTTACGTCTGTTCATATCCACATTTCTCTCCGTCGTTTTTCATTATCCACTCCCCCCCCCCTCTCTCTCTCACACTATCATTCTTTTTCTCTCTCTCTCCCTGCGATTCAACTTCCGATTCGGACGTGTCCGTACTGCTTTCGGCTCAGGGGTGTCTCGAGTGAAGCACACGTACACTGCTGCACCTGTGCACCCGCAACACGTTATACGGGACGTCGCGATGCGGTTATTAACGAGCAGGGGTATGAAAAATAAGAATTAAGTTCTCTTTCTAATTTTCCGATCGTGCATTTCGAACCAGCGCCCTAGACTGTGATTTCGTTTCCTCGTGCTCCGAAATCGTGCCGATTTGCTCTTTCCTTCATACGCTTTGTGCTTAAACGAAAACGGGTCTGTTCTGGACTGTTCGACAATTCGAATTTCTTCACGTTCACGTAATTTAGTGGTAATGCATACTTGTGGACTGCAAAATTTGAAATCGTGCCGATTTGCTCTTTCCTTCATACGCTTTGTGCTTAAACGAAAACGGGTCTGTTCTAGACTGTTCGACAATTCGAATTTCTTCACGTTCACGTAATTTAGTGGTAATGCATACTTGTGGACTGCAAAATTTCTATTTCTTTTTACGTTGCGATGTCGTCGAAGTTACGTAAGTATCATATAAAATACTTGGATATTTGACTAACTCTTTTTCAAAATATTTCCATGTTTGAGTGTACAATAACCGGTAGAATTCTTACAAAACATGAAGTGCATGGAAGTTGTAACATATAAAAATATTAGCACATCGAATATGCGCATTCTCTAGTACGCAAGCTAAAGTATATCATTTACTATTTAACCATAATCCCAATTCACTTTAATACCCTATTAATATCTTCGTCCAAAATGTATACACGGTAATGGTTATGTCACAATGTAAACGCAATTGTGTAAGTGTAACACATTTCGAAAAATACTAATAATAAAATTATTTACATCGAGAGAGATAACTTGCACTTTTAGTATTTACCTATTTTTCTTACATTTTCTTATCATAGCAGTGCACTCAGCATTCATTTAACGTATAATACCGATAATTTGTAGGTTAAATTCACGTATTGCATAATTTGAGGTTATTATCAAATTTCGCCAGTAGCTTTTGAAAAGTTGATTTGGATTCTGAATAGCAACGTGTGTTACGGTTTTATAAACTGAATAATTTCATCATAGCAAACTTCTGCTCACAAGAAACACCCTGGCGCACGTACAACACCTATAAATCTGCAGATCATCGTTATTCAGCAATAAGATTGCAGGCATAAGTATAATATTAAGAAATATTCGAAATTAATGCAATTGAATATGTATAAAATTTAGAAATACGTGATTCTATAGAATTGTAGAAAATGGTAAAGTTTATAACACGATCGAATATCGTTCACGCTTAATAAAATGAAAGAAACAGCGTTTAAAAGTAACATTTCCACGTGCAAATTTTCAGATGCAATTTTGTTAAACTCGATCTAGTTATCCAATTTCTATATTTATGCTCGTGAATGAAGATAATACCCGTATTTATGAAAAGTGAATGGTACATTTGCCGCGTTCATCTCGAACAGATTGTTTAAAATATTAAAGGACATAAATGGATACAGGAATTATCTGCTAAACAATTCACTTCATTCAAACTTTCTCACGGAGGTTATAGTGTTATGGCATTATACCTGTCGCTAAAATCGGCTATTATCAATTCCCGTACGATTCCTTTGAAATTATGATATTATACAGGACTTTCTACATTTTTTAAATAATCCTGTACATTTAACCGATTTAAACAGTTAAGTACTATTATCGAGCAGCGCGCAATGCAAGACTAAATCTATTTGCTTCGACATTTCTCAATTATTTCAAGTTTCCGTTGACGAAATCTCAACGTTCGACCACTGAAATTTTACTATAGAAACAAAGATAATGTCAGATCAAAGGGACTAACGTATATCACGGACGATACCGCCGACGATTTTGGCTTCAGATTACACAATTCGAGGGAATTAATTTTCCGCTAGACATGAGCGATGGCGAATAAGTATAATAATATCGTCACTCGTAGCTAACACATCTGTGAAATTTCAGTGCTTCTCACTGTTCTTGCTTATTCTCCTACGCGCATGCAAACCATTACGTTTAGCATTTTGTTTTCTGCAAGTGTGTGCGACATCTACACACTGCTCCAATCGTACGTGACTCATGTATGGTTTCACTTATACTCCCATGGAATAGGAAGACTCGTTCAGTTTTTGATGCAGGGTTACCGCGAGTATTACAACGAAATGAAATACCGAGCTGAATTATGTGAAAAATACGCCGTTGTAGATGCGAGTGAAGTTATTATACAAAAATCAGCTAGAAATATCGAGACTTCAGTTGTGTAGAAAATGAATACTATCGTATGAGCGGTTCTAGCAAGAGATAAAGTCTTAAGTACGAACGAAGAACGTTTGGACGAAGTGTGAAAACTTGGAGCGGACACGATCGTGAAGAACTTAGGGATAACTCTACGCGGTTAGGCTCTGTAACATGAAAAATGCGCAAGCGAGATCATTAGTGAGCGTTAAAGAGATTTGAACGTGAGATATACAGCGAGAGTTTTGTAAGAGAATATCGTAGGTAATAGTGAGTTTACGAGCTAGACGTGATAGAACAGTAAACTAGAATTTTAATTCTACTAGCTGTAAGCCATTTTCATCTGCAATTTTCAAAAGATAATTCCTATAATTGTTTCATCAAAGTATCTAACAGAATTTATTTCTATTGATTTTTAACGAAAATACGTGCACACTTGTCCAATAATATTGCATTCAACGATCGTCAGCACACATTTAACAATCAAATTGGAAATTAGAGTGAAAATAGGCGAGTAATGCGAAGAACCTAAACGTCCTGAGTTTTAGTCTATCGTTTCAGACCTTTTTTCCTAGTTCTTCTGACAATTAACTTACAAGTATTCGTTCGAAATTTAAATACAGCTTACAATTTACGTCTAATCAACTATTCGCCCGTTTGTTAATACTAATTTACGCATCGCTCGTGTGAATAATGTGCAAGGCAGAAGTTTGAAAATTAGAACGAAAGAATGAAAAATTCTTCGGAATCCTGTCTGAAAGAAATTTCGAAAGGACAGGCTGCAGCCATTCTATAGCATTTGTACCATATTGCACGGAATAAAAGGTTGATTGCATCTATCGTGTCGTTCCGTATCAGTTCCGGTTTCCGGTGCATAGACTATAATAATGATTACCATTTTAAAGTATATCAATATGTACAGTTTCTTCTTCAATGTTTAAATTCAACGCTACACATTTCTGCTTTCATTTATAAGGTTGCTCCATTTATCAAATGTCGCGTTGAATGCGCACATCGCGGGATATATACTTTTGTATTTAGTTAAATGAAACGGCAAAAGTCATTTGACCCAGATTGCCAGTGAAGTTATTGATATCGATTTATGCGAATGAAAAAAAGCTGATCAGTCAGATCGGTCAGCTTAATCTACACCGAGGTCCGATAGCGCCGGGGTATTAGACTAGATAATCGCGGGATTAAAGGGAGTACTCGTCGGTTAATCCATTATTCGCGTGACATCTGCCATTCAACATTTTACACTATGCCAACCATGTTTTCGTCGTCTCTTTTTTTCACCGATGTTGCTCCAGTTTATTTTCAGCTTATCGAGGTTTCGTTTTCAGATCTCGTGCAATTTACGCGAAATATTCGAGAGACGTTACGTCGCATACTTGTCGCACGTATGTACTTTACGCAAAAATAAGAAAAGCGGAAAATGTCGGTGCTTGGAAACGACAAAATTTGGTTGACTTTTCAATATTTTTTTCGCCGCAAAACGCACTTGTTTCAACCTGAAACAAGATAATGGAAACGCGCGACGCGTTTGCCTATAATATCTCATATGCCTTGCCACATATCGTT